GCTTTGGGTCATCCTCTACTACTTTCCCAGGCCACACACAGGGGGCAGCCAGGATATAAATTGGCACCTAAATGGGATCCTGGTGCCTGCAAGATGAGGACTTTAGCCACTAGGCTACTGTACTGGGCCCAACTACCAATATTCTATACTGAAGATAGACAATGGATATAATAAGGAATGTAGCAGATAGCTTGTAGGAGAAATTTCTAAAAAGATTTATTTTTATTGGAAATACAGATCAGACTTACAGAGAGAAGGAGAGAATGAGAGCAAGATCTTCCATCTGCTGGTTCACTCCCCAAATGGCTACATTGGCCAGAGCTGAATCAACCCGAAGTTAGGAGCCAGCAGCTTCTTCCAGGTCTCCTATAGGGGGTCAGAGGCTCAAGGCTTTGGACCATCCGCAACTGTTTTCCCAGGCTACAAGCAGGGAGCTGGATGGGAAGTGGAGCTGTTGGGTTTAGAACCGGCACCTATATGGGATCCCGTTGCATTCAAGGTGAGGACTTTAGGTGCTAAGCCACTGCGCCGGGCCCACCCACTACAATTCCTTAGTATTTTACATTCTTTTTGTTTCCTAGAGCACATGGAATGGCTGACAATAAGGATTTTCCTTTTTCTTGGTTAGATATCCACCCAATATTGCAGAACATGTGGAATCATTCACTCTCAACTTTAATGTTTGTGAAAGTTGATGAAGACCCGACAAGGGTGGGAACCTATTAGATGAAGGCCAACTGGACGATGGCTAAGAATCCTTGAGTAGTGGCATTTACCCTTAGTTTTATATTTGTCTTGTAGCGTTGTGAATCCAGATACTTGTCCATGGTTGATCAGGCTCAGTTGCTATTTCTTTTGTTTTCATTCACTCCTGAATCTACTGCACTGGGATGAGCCAAACCATTGCTTTTACAAGGTTGTCACGAATCTTACACACTCAGTGGACAACCCTTATCTTTTACAACCTCTCTGCTACATTTGTTTAGGGCAAGCAGAGAGCCAGTTTTCCTTAGCAGGCTCATTTCCTTTTTCTCCAGGGCATTCAGTAAACTACATTTCCCAGACTCACTCTGTAATTAAACAAGGTCACGTGACTAGAGTGCCGACTAGTGGAAAAGAGGTTCTGTGTGTGTGTGTGTGTGTGTGTTTAACCAATAGTGGAAGGACTATAAGTCCCTGAATACATGCTTCAAGGCCTCCCCACCCTTCTTAAGTGACTGGAATGGCGTATGACATGAATAAAATATGCAGCTTCCTGAGATGTGGGGCTATGCATTACATTTGTAAGCTATTATCAATACTACCTTGTCTTGTATGCTATGCATGCCCTTACCTGAATCTCCTCTTCTTCCTCTGTATTTCATACCTTAATTTCTTGGACTTCGTCATTTCTACTTGTTATTTAAGTGTTTTAATCTAAAGTTTTGTGGACAACAGTTTTTTTCCTACCTGTCTGTGTCCTGTAAGAAGCTCCATATACTCTCACAGTGTTACTGACTTATGATATACAGATGAATAGGTTAGTAAACATGTTGCTAATTAGCTATCATTTTCCCTAGCTATGTGCATGTCAAACTGATTTTGTACCAATTTTATGCAATTTTTTCTAACTATGGTTTTAAAATATTTATTTCTTCATCTTCCCCATTCTCTGTTAGATTGAGTGCTGACTGTATCTTTTGATCTAGTTCTTTCACTGAGCGCTAAAATCTCCTCATTTATCTAACATCGTCACCATCTACAGGGAGCTGCGTTAACTGTCTTCTCACAGGGTGCAGTACGGTGACTTGCACAGAGCCCGTGATCAGTGAGTTGGCTGAACTGAAGATAACTGATTGTGTACCTGTTCTATGTAAGGCTGTGCACTGGGGTCAGCGGAGGGCAAACAAATACAACCTTGTTTTCTGTTTACTTCTTCACCTGTTTACTCTAAACAACCCCCTGCCTAATCCCAATCCAGTGAACAAACACACTGAACTATTTGCAGTTGCGTAAGAGTGCCTTGCTTTTCAGTTTGACACTCAGAAGTGGATCCAGAACTAGTGTAATCTCAAGCAAAATCCAATACTTGTTTCGACTTTATTCCCAGGAAAGTAATCAATATTTCATCTTTTTTTTTTAATGCCTGGAATTCAGAAGTGTTGGAATGAAGAGAATTATCTATTTTTATCTGACAGTGAATTGAATTTTCTTTTTGAGTAAGTCATTTGAGGCCACTGCTTACTTTCTTTTATTGTGCTATTTTATTCACTAGAATAATGATTTATTAAACTGTGTTGATAGTGTCAGATTTCAACCTGGTCTTGCTTTTCCTTCCTCTCCACTCCTGCTTTATTCTTCCTTTCCTCTTTGCTTCCTTCTAAGATTTTCCACCAGATGTATTCATTATAGCAGGATTTTATTGAGCATCGTTTTACTCAATGAATAGATGTGCTATTAGGATTAAACTATCTTCTACATTTTGGTTTTTCATTCTGAGTAGCAATTTTTTCTTTTCTTCTTTTTTTTAAGATTTATTTATTTATTGAAAAGTCAGATATACAGAAAGGAGGAGAGAAACAGAGGAAGATCTTCTGTCCGATGATTCATTCCTCAAGTGAGCGCAATGGCCGATGCTGTGCCCATCCGAAGCCAGGAGCCAGGGACTTCTTCCGGGTATCCCACACGGGTGCAGGGTCCCAAGGCTTTGGGCCATCCTGGACTGCTTTCCCAGGCCACAAGCAGGGAGCTGGATGGGAAGTGGTGCAGCCGGGATTAGAACCGGCGCCCATATGGGATCCCAGTGTGTTCAAGGCAAGGACTTTAGCCGCTAGGCCACCGCGCCAGGCCCCAATAGCAATTTTTTCTTAATGTCCTCAAGCACTGGCATTAAATTATATATTTATCCTCGAGCTTTTCCAATTGCCTACATTTTTTTTCCCATATTGCATCACTTTATTCCAGGTTTCTGTTCTTATATTTTCTCCCACTTGTAGGGAGTTTCTGAGATCTATTTTGCTTATAAGGAGTTTCATTGACTCAGCCTACTTCTGCGTTCAGAATTGCTACTACCGAGGAAGGCATTTAGCCTAGCCCTAAGACGCCTGCATCTCAGGTGAGCGCGCCTCTGTTCATCCGCCTGGTTACAACCACTAATACCTGCTTCCTGCTAGTGCAGAAGCCAGGAAGCTGAGAGCATGGCTCGTGGGATTGGGTTCCTGGCACTCTGGGAGATCTTGGGAGTTAGTTTATGGTGTTGACTTTGGTGGACTCTCGGTGCTGCTCTCCCCAGCCCCCCAAACTTGGGCATTTGAACCAGTTGCTGAGAACTTTCTTCTCTCAATTTTTTAAAGTACGCTATTATTTTTACCTCTACTGCTTTTATGGTAGCATATAGCTCAGCTGTCAAGCTCTAGCATCGGTGGAAGCCTCATTGATTGAGACAATCCTGGTCACGGCTAAGTTCTTGGTGGTTCTAGCTGCTTGTAGACAGAACCTTAGTCTGGCCTTCAGGTTCCTTAAACCTAAAACCCTGATCTGCCAGTGATGAACATTCACAACACATTTGTTGTTGGTGGTGTTGGCAACGGCTTTTATTTTGCTGGAATTTCCATAGCATGTGATATTTAAAAATGTTTATTGTTTATTTATCTGAAAGACACAATCATGGCATATTCCTCTGAATGCCCATAGCAAGTGTTTGGAGGAACACAGCTTATAAGTTGCTTAACTAGTAAAAGCTCCCCTCCTCACCCCCATTTTTAAGTGAGAAAACTGAAGTTCACAGACCCAGTAAGATAGCCTAGTGGTTAAAGTCCTCACCTTGAACACGCCAGGATCCCATATGGGGCCGGTTCTAATCCCAGCAGCCCCGCTTCCCTTCCAGCTCTCTGCTTGTGGCCTGGGAAAGCAGTCCAGGATGGTCCAAAACCTTAGGACCCTGCACCAGCGTGGGAGACCCGGAAGATACTCCTGGCTCTTGGCTTTGGATAGGCTCAGTTCCAGCCATTGCGGTGGTCACTTGGGGAGTGATACATCAGTCATTTGGGGAGTGAATCATCGGACGGAAGATCTTGCTCTCTGTCTCTCCTCCTTTCTGTATATTTGACTTTCCAATAAAAATAAATAAATCTAAAAAAGAAAACTGAAGTTCAGAGAGGGCAAGTAGTTTATTACTCACAGGACTTGGCCTCATCTTGAACGTGTTAGCTACTCAGTTCAAAGGGAAAATCCCTGATCGGTGTTTCTAGGCCAGAATCTTGTGATGAACGCTCGCTAAAAGGAAACGTTCGTTAAAAGGCAGCGTTGCAGAACCCTCTGGGAACAGACTGACTCTTTGAAGGGTTAATCCACAAGCCAGGTGAATCTTACAGAACTTTTAGAGAAGTATGGGGAAAAGCATCCTTAAGGAGTCCACTGGACCAAACCAGGGCATCTTTTAGGGTAGGCCAGCCTGAGATTGGAGATGCTCCACTTGACCCTTTGTCTGGCCTTCAGGTTCCTTAAACCTAAAAGCCTCTCCACTTGTTACTCCACAGCTGTGCGTGGTAAACGTTGCGTTCTGTAACCGTTGTCCTCAAGAGCAGGAAACGGCCATGGATTTTGGCTTGCTAGTGAGCATGGAAATCAGCCACGGGCCTGTTCCACCTTAAAGGGCCTAGGCATGCCTTGTGTTTGGGTCTCACAGAGTTTGGGCACCACCATATTTGGAGCGTGCCTACTTTGGGGCGGGAACCTCCTTGGGAGCGATTAGGTCAGCGCTGGGGGAGGTGACCTTGTTTGGTTTCTGGCACCCGGGAACAGTGGTGCACTGTTTCTGCTGCCCCCGTTTGCCCAGCTGGCCCAGACGCTCCAGCAGCGCCAAGCTGCCCAGCAGCTCCTGGCTGGCCACCCCCGCGGCCCGCAGCCCGGCCGAGGCGGGAAAGCAGCGCGCCTGCGCCGTGGGAACCGGGGCCGGAGGCGAAAAGCGGGGAGCGGAGGGGGGCCGTTGGAGCCGAGTAGCGTACAGAGCGGCGTGTGACGCGGGGACGCCGCGCGCTCCCAACGTCGCCCCGGTTTGACGCACACGGCACCAAACTGTGAGTTTCAGGGGTTATTTGGTCGGGTTCGCTGGGCCCGGAGTGGGTTTCGGGCCTCTGGGCTGTGGCGGCGGCGAGACTGTGGGTGGCGGAAGAACTTGGGGGGACCCGGCCTCCGGCGCTCGCGCCCGGAGAGCTACGCCCTAGGCTGGGTCCCGACCATCCAAAAGGACGCATTTTGCCGCACAGGCTAAGATGGCGGCGGCGGCCGAGGAGGCGGAGTTGGTGCTACACAAGGAGCCCGGGCCCTGGGTTCGGGGAGGCGGCGGCCGCGGGGGCCGCGGAGCCTGAGGTGAGCGGCGGCCGCCGCCGCGGGGCGGGACTCGGCGGGAGGCGGGGGGCTGCGGGAGGCTTTTCCGCCGCTGCGTCGGAGGATCCGGTAGCGGACACAAAGGGGCCGAGTTGGGCACTAGACTTGGGGGTTTTGTTTAGTCACATGAAGCCGAGCAGCCAGTGAGCGGTAGGGGGAAGGGGCCGAGATCAGGCGGCTCGGGGAGCCTGGCGGTCGCCATTGCGATGTACTGAGTAACGGGGCGGTCCCAGGGCAGTGAGCAGCCCCTGTCTTCCCGGCTGCTGGGTCCTGGTCGGAAGCGCCGGCTCGGGTTTGACTGTGTACACCTCTCCCCGATGGTTTGGGACTGGACCGCAGAGCCCTCCTTTCCCCTCCCCCCGAGTCTTCTGCAAGATCTCACGCCACTAGGTGCCGGGGAACTGACTGCAAGAGGTAAATCGTTCCTAGTGTCGGGTGCCAGGGGCTCGGTGGGTGTCCAGATAAAGCTTTTTTGCCTCTCCAGGTCTGATTCCCTGGCCTTTGTGTCCCTGGTTGCTTCATGCCTGCCGGAAAAGAGCAGGTGTGCTCCACTTCTCCCGTGAACCTGAAGATGAGTTGTGCCCGACCCTTCTCAGTACTTGCAAACTTAGGTTGCTCGTCGGGAGACTTCCGCAGACTCTCGTGTTGGGGACCCATCCGTGGGTTAGCCACATAGGTGGAAAAGTTTTCTTAAACTGCTGAAGTGATTTTTACTTAGAGTGGCTGTAAAACTTTTCTGTTTAGGCTTGTGATTTTGGTGTGATCATTGTACTCAACCCGGGGATCCACACAATTAGAGGCTTGAGGTGAAAGTCCTGTGTTATTTGCAAGTTGGTAATTTCAACGGGAATAAGGAAAACACCGTCCATCTGTTTGGGCCAGTCCTGACTAAGGCCAAGCCTGTGGCATCTCGATGATAGATTAGATTTGCCTTAATCCTGCATTCCCTCCCTGCAGTAGTTTACTTAAACTTTTTTGGTTTCAACAAGAAGAAAGCATTTAAAAAAAAAAAAGACAATTTAAGTTCTGCAAAGAAAGGAAGCCAGTTCTCTATATCTGCAGTTCCATGTGTGAGAAGTATTCAAGGAACTTGATGGCAGCAATGTGGGTTGGGAAAGGAATCAGTTTAATTGGTGAAGCGTGAAGGTTTGCCTTAGTACTGATGCAATTATATCTGATTGACTGGTGAAATCACGACGATTTGCGTTTTTGGATTTCCAGCAATCTAAAAGTTACAGCACACCAAGCATATTTTATGTTGGCATTAACTATTAGTGGGAAGCACAACATTTCAAATAGCCTTTTATTTATTTATTTATTTATTTATTTATTTATTTATTTTTGCTATTAGCAACAAAATTACTTGAGGGGGTGTTTAAATACATTGAGAGCACTCTTAAGTTTGTCAAGTCTCTTTTCAAATTGAAATTTGAACTTTTCACCATTACTTAAAACAGTGAATTTTCTTGTTTCTTCTCAGAAACGTTTCCTTTTAAGTTTTTTTTTCTCCCTCCTAATAGAGCCCTCTCTGGTGTCTGGTATATGGATACTGGCAAAGTGTTATTCCTTGATCAGTTTTACAATGGAAAGGATCTCAGAAAGCAGTTACTCTTACTTGTCTTTCATAATATTTTCAGGAAGAGAAGTGATTGTTAATGGTATGATGGAAGACGTGTTTCAGCTTCTACCTCATTACTGTTGTATATTGCAACCAATTTTGGTTAAAAAATGAAAGGAGTGTTGCAGAGAGCACTTGTTAATTAAGATAACTATTTTACACTGTATAGTGACCTGATTTTTAAAGTGATTTCCAGTGAAACAAATCAGATAATACAAAATACAGCAATTTAGTTTTTGAACTTTGAGATTTTTCTGCAAGTTGTCTTGGCTGAGAAATTTAAAAAATTAAAAAGCAACCACCAGGCACTGGATAAACTCCTTGGAAAATTCGAAGTAATTTCCTTGATGGCATGTTGAGTAACATGAGCAGTAGATCGATGGTGGAAACAGTGGTACGAGTCAGTGCCTGCCTTTGTCAGGATGTTTTGGTTAGATGAGTGCGCATGCCACTCAGGCCACTGCCATTTAAAACAGATGTAGTACTCCTCCTGAGTGGCAGATGTGTAAGATGTCTTCGAAATTGAGCAAGTAGTGCACTCATGAATAGTGAATCCCACAGGGATGTTCAGCTTCTTTGGATGTCACATTTAGTGGAAATAGCTAAATTGTTGTAGGTTTTAACGCTTTCATGAGTCATTTAAGGATGCTTTTTTGTTGAATTTCGTAAGACTTGAGAAGCTTTGTCATTTTGTAGGAAGCTAAGCGTTTTCCAGGTTTCATTGGTCATTCAGGTTGCAAGGAGAGTTTTGGCTGTCTTGATGTTACTAATGAGTAGCAGGAGGGGGAAGGAAAGCCTCAAGCAGAGTCACAAGATGATGGTGATATCTCCAAGTTACAGAACGTTCAGGTTCACCTTCATTCCCCAGGATGTTGTCAGTGTTTAGATTTAATTACTTATTTAGACTTTTAAAGAATATTGTGATACTGGAAGGGTAAGAGTGGATCTTACTATGGGAATGTTTTTCTCAGGACTGCTCCTCAGTCTGATACTTAGTTTGCAGGAAATGTTGAAATTGGCGTGTTGAATTATCAACTGTAATCTTGTAGAACACTAGTTTTAGCCATCCCTTTTTTGAAGTTAAGCAGATTTTTTTTCCAGTGAGTCTTATAAAATAAGAGTGGATACTGCGATACTCTGGATTCAGATGATTTGGTGCTTTTCCCTTATTTATCTACGATAAAAGATGAGAATCTGTGAATGCTGATAAAAATATGACGTGCCACATTGACTAAAACAGTCCTAGAAGTGATGTTTTGAATTCAGTTTTGTTCGGTACTGGAAGCCATTTACAGGGATTTGGGAAGCCATTGAGGGATTTGAGAGTTAATGGAGCTGAACCTGATACTAGCTCACTCTGCTGGTTGGCTGAAGTATTTCTCCTTTTCCTCCTCCGAAAGAAACAATTAGGGCTGACATGAAATCTGGAGAGGTCTCGTCTCGGTGAAGAGTTCTATCTGTGATGCCTTGGTTGCTCTACTCTTTGCTTCTATGTTGTTTGCCTGAGTAACTGTGGGGTTACTATTGTAACTGTGGGGTTACTATTCTTCCTGGACTTAACTGAGGGCTCTTATGTGGTGAATGGAGATAGTATGTTTCTCTACCTTTAAATTTGAGATAAATTCTTTAGCAGTTGAGAGGTATTGACAAAAAAAAGCAGAGTTCTGTATAACTTTTTAGGAGAAGAAACACAGACTTTCAAGAGGAGGAGGGTCCTGCTGCGACAGAAGGAACAGCAGTATACTATACGTGCTTTTCTGGCCTGGGTTGGGGAGAGGGAAGTGAGACTGAACTGGAGTTAGATGTTTTGAAGAGATTTCCTTTCCACTCCCCCTGCCGCCTCCTGCTGTCTGGGAACTGTAGCCTTCCTACTCTGTTTTGGATTCTTGGGAAGTTTACTCCTTGAGATTGTGATAGCATTGAAGTTGATTAGACAGAAACAGATTTTGTTTTTTAAGCTTCTTTTTGTATATATTTAGTTGATTTAAAGATTGTCTCTACAAATTCTAAGAACATAAATATTTGTATATTGTGAGTCAACCAGTTGATTGTAATTAAAGGTGCTAATGATGTGTTGGGATTAAGGCACTTTACAATTCACCTGTATTCTATCAATTATTACCAACCTAATATTTAAAAGTGATAGTCTTTTAATCCCTTTGTCCATGGTGTTTATTATTTTACTTGCACGCCTAGTACAAATCTTTGTCATCAGCTTCTTGAAGAAGATGTTAAATATATCGAGTACTTCACATCATTGTTTTTGATGGCAGAGATTCACACCTTTCTTTTGGCTGGTATTTGACAGTGAATAAAATCTGTGCCAAAGTTGAAATTAATTACCTTTTGGTTACCTCTGACTCACTATTTTACATACACGTGCACAATGTTTTTCAGAAAACTTGAAAAAAAATTTGTGGAAAATGTAGTTATCAAGATAAGTACTTTAGTGTACAGATTTTTTAAATACACACATACTTACATATATACACACAGAATCACAGTTGCATTGTAATTATGCATGTGTAAAGAAGCAAGATAGGATGTTTAAAAGTATAAACCTGAAGTAACACTAGAAGAGTTCAATTTCAGCTGTGTGATCACTAGGCAAATAGATTTATATTAATGCCATCTTCATAGAGGTTTAAGGTTATGTTGCATAATTCATGTAAAGACTTTAGCTTTCTGGCACACAGAGTAACAATACTATTACCATTGTCCAAGAACTCTTTGGATTAACTTGAAATTTCCCTCTAATTTAGAATTGTATATTCCACTAATATGCCTTTTTCAGCCATATCCGTGAAGACAGTATTATGAAGAAAGTGAGAATTGGGCATCATAATGTGCAGCTGTAGCAGCAAAACCGATTATCAGGTTAAGTTTAGAAATGCATTCCCTCTCATGGGCACCGATGAGTTGGTGCAGCCCTTCGGAGACCAATTGTGGTTTTCTTTGTTTCATCCTGATTTCATTTAAATGTTTGATGGTGATGGTGACCTTAATGAGAGGGATGAGGGTAGAGGCTACATACATTTGTATTAGCACACATCCAAGCCGTAGAGGAGGATG